CAAGGACTTGACTGAGTAATACTATATTAATGAATCATTATATACGGAGTAGTTCATAAATATAAACATCTCCATTTCTACTTGGTAACTACTGCTCAGTACGATGTACCACTTTACTGGGTGCACAGATAATGATTAAGTCACAAGTAGTTAATGAGTCATAATTACTTGCAACTCTTTAATTAACTGGTCACAATGGTAAGTGTATTGATTCACAGATATTCATGAACTAATCATTCATTAATATCATAGTCTGTTCTCCAGTAACTCATCATTATCTATGATATAGTCCTCGATTCAGAGTTATTGGGAAACTAATGAAACTAATCAGGTCATTCTTCATTCAACCCTCACTCAGTCCTTTGTAACTAATCACGCTTTTGTGTACTGTATTGTAAAGTACCTATATTCCTGTTAGCAACTGGTTAGCTTAGCTTAACATAAAGCCTGTAATTCACCAGTTAGCCTGGTGAATTATTGTTTTGGTTTTGTATGGACTAAACTAATGAGAGACTAATACAGGCAGATTTGTTACTGGAGCGACGCTAGCTGTTTCCTCCTGTTTCCAGTCTTTATGAAAGCTAAGCTAACCAGCTCCAAGACAAGACAAGAAAATGAATAAACACCATGTGTAACTGTTACTTTAATAATAATTACCTTTTTGGATTTTTCATATGGTTTCCATTTGTTCAGCATTAGTTCAATTTTGATAAAAAACTTTTATATGATACTTTCCAGGTTTACATGTAATACTTTTATCAAGATATTTTGACAAGAACAGGTATAAATAATTCAATTATTGATGGCTGAATTCCATTTCTGCTCCAGTTTAATGGTCCGGCTATTATGCATGCTGTCTCACTGTCACAAAACTTAAATAGAACGGTGCCATCGTTAATGTTATTAGTAACACCTGTTTTTCCCACTGTGACCAGTCAAAATGCGTGCTGTAAAAAAAGGCCTGTTCCTGACGGTGCTCCTTAAAGAGTCTTTTGAAGGTGACTTTCTAATTTATAATTCTTGTTGTTATTACACAGATATAATACATAATTACTGTTTGGGGTATTTAAGGTCCAGTGTGTAGGATTTAGTGGCATCTTGTGGTATAGTTTCAGATTGCAACTCCCTCGCTTCACCCTCCCCTTACAAATGCGTAGGAGAAATGTTATGGAGGATGTGAAACCTATGAAAAAACAGAACCAGAACCAGTGTTTGATTTGTCCGTTCTGGGCTACTGTAGAAACATGGCGGTTCAAAATGGCGACCTGTGATGACTGTAGCTATAAAAAGCTAATTCTAAGGTAACGAAAAAACAACTCTTATTTTCTGGTGATATACCAATGAAAACATGACTATGAATATTATATTCAATTTCTGCCGATAGACCCTCCTCAATATTACACACTACAATATTATTTTTGGATGTAACTATTCTGGTTTTAAAATATGACGCCTCCTACAAGCTCAAAGACAAAATTGGTCATGTGTAAGAACCAACCAAAACAATCCTGTCCGTCTTTTTTTTTCCTTTTCTCTGTTTCTGTTTGACTCACTGAGCTGTTGTCCTCTTTTCTCACTGAACAGAGGCGGCTCTCGGCTGGTCCCTCCCCTCCATCAATCTCTGTCATAAATCTGTCAAGCAGAGAGAAAGGGAACTGCTGAATACAGATTTGTCAGCAATTAATCTAACCTCTATTACTAGACTTGGATATTGTGTTCTCCATACCAGAGAACAATAAGCCACTCTAACATGGAGCACTGCGCATGTGTGTGTGTGTGTGTGTGTGTGTGTGGGGGGGGGATGTTCAGTCGTGTGTGTGTGTGTGTGTGTGTGCACAGTAAGCTTTCCTTGGGTGGTGTTTCAACTGTTCTGTTAAAACACCATCATATAATAAAAATAAATCTGTGTGACTCAAACTTCTCTTATTTCCTCATTATCATGTTCACTGTGATCGTTCTGGTCGTTATTCTTTATACTTCATTGCCTTTTTGCACTTTAAAGAAAATTACACACCAGTTACTGCCTCGGCTGTCGTGCTTTAATTGGAAATCATTGGGACAGCCGCGCCATTTAACCTTGAAGAGACATACAGTATTCTGAATGTGAGGCTGGCTAATTGACATTCTGCACTTGATGAGAAGAAAGGACACATGATGGGTTAGTGTGTGCATACTCGTGTGTGTACCAATCTGCTTTGCAGCTCAATCTTATTGATTTTCTTAAGGATGTGGATTAGAGTCAATATCATGTTTCCCAGACAAGACAACAATGAGAATAAAAAGTAGGAAAACATCAGCATTAGTAATAATAATAGCGCAACGATTGTATACTCCTCTGTGCATGTGTCCAGTTTCTGTGTGTGAAAGTAACTATATATAGTACAAACCAACAATGCATCACTCCGTCTCTCTATGCTTTTATGTTCCTACCCTGTCATTTCAACCATGGATTAATACACATTTGGTGTTCTTGTGAGTATTAATGGAAGCAGTACGATGTGTAATAGTAACAGTGCCCATGTTCTTCATAATGAAGGAACATGTCACTCATAGCTACTGTGTATCTTACTGATGTGTTTTTAATAGTTTCTGGACAACAGAGGAGGTCAATTGTGTAGAGCAACAAGATATATAATGCTTTGGCTATAGAAATACTTATTAGGATCAGTTCATTGTTAGTTTTGGTCTTTCCGTGGGATTAGTTGTCAGAAAAATATAAAATATTACAAGACTTATCCATTAAATACAGCACAGCACTGTGCTGACACTGACATTTCCGGTGGGAGACAATACACACATTTCCTGTTCTTTTTCCAAAGATTTCCTCTTCCTGTTTTTGCCCTCTCTCTCCTCTTCTCTCTCTCTTCTCTCTCTCTCTCCTCTGTCTCATAATTCATTCCTCCACATCATTTTCTGTACATGTGACATGCTTGCAAGTGCCTAATAGAATGTAATAGTAATAGAAGTTGTATACCAGCCGTATAACTCTGTATCTACAACAGGCTTTCCAACTTTTTACAGGGCTATGACTTGATGATGATATTCATGATTTCACCCCTACCCATTCCTCTTCTGCACACACACACACACACACACAAGACACACACACACACACACACACACACCGCACACACACTTATCATTATTAGGACAGTTCAGTGGAGCAGTGAGCCAGTGCTCAGCCCTGCTTGCAGACAGAATTTAGAGTGGAAAACAGCTGAGCTTCTCTGGGTGCTTTATCATCGTGACCTATTCCCCACCCACAGGCAAAGGGACCCAGGGTTAGATTTACTATTGTCCAATTTCCAGTACAGGCATTATGTTGTGTGTGGTGTGTTGTGTGGTGCGTGTGTGTGTTCTGTTGGTGTAAAAATACATCTTCATGGTGTGCATTTGTATGAATCTTGACAGTTAGTTACATTGAAAGGGAATTTCTCTCCGCTGTCTCTGCCAGTAACTTGTTCTGTAACCTGCTGTTAGCTTGCACCTTTCTTTTGACTGTCATTAGCACACTCTCTGGCCCTCTGTCCCTCTGCTTGTCCCGAGTGACCTGCCTTAGGGCCGCATGCCTACATGGGGGGGTTCCCAACGTAACAAAACCACATCTGGGGGATCCGCCCCTGCAGGGTGAGAATGTATCAACATCCACCTTATCTATGATGAAAAGAACAGCCCCCACAGCACATTTGGGATTGTTTGGATGTATTGTTTCCTCGGCCTGCAAAATAACAGCATGCGCTTTTTTCAGTGGTTTGTCAGCAAAGCCCAGGTAAAGGGAGAAAGAAGGCCTGAGCGCTGCACTAGCCATGTACTCACTGTGATCAACCTGATGAAAGGTCTTGTAACGAGCATCCACCTTCACTGCTATTACTGGCAACAATTACACTCATTAAGTACTGCTCGAATAATAGTCTGCCATACGCTCACAAGCGCTCTCCCCATAATCAGAGGGCAGTGATGACTCAGCACTGTGGGGTGAATTTTTGTTAAAAACTCTGCTTTTTAATCATGTGATTTTTTGGTCTAATAAGATCAAATTACAAAGGAAAAGTTACTGTTTGCCACCGTGAACAACCTTCTTCTTAACACGCCCAACACATGTCAAACATGTGCTGTGGTGTGTTGTGTGTGTGTTTGGGACAGGCGCCTGCTTTTGAGAGCAGCAAGCCATGAAGCGAAGAATGAGCGTGTCCTGCCAGGCTAGAGTGTTTACAGCAGAGTAACATGAGGGGGAGTTGGACCAGCTTGTCCGCCCTACTCCATAACTTAAATGCCAGGAATCCACAGCTGTGTTTCTATGTATAAAGGACTGGGGTTTAAAGCAAAATATGGACAAGAGGAGAAACAGTTAAATGGGCCCTTGGAGGAAAAAAAAAAAAATATTGAAAATAGAATATCAGATACTGATAAATTAAAGGTGAAGAAATGTACCGCCTTCTTAGTCAGAGGTTTTGGAGGCCAATGGGAGTCATTTGCTGGCTGCCCAGCGTGTGTGCAGGCTAATGTGGTGTGTGTGTGGGGGGGGGGGATGGGGTACCACAGGCATTAGGTAATATTGACATGGCCACCCTCCCAACAATACTTAGATCAATGTACCAGATCAATAAAAGTCATTGACAATAACTGAACTTCTCATGTGATCAGCGATGGAGAAAATTCACCATTTTTCAGTAGTGTGTGTTTCACATGGTCATTCATCACACTGAAGGTCTACAATAAAAAGAAACACATGCATACACACTCATGCAAATAAGATCTTGCACAAATGCAGAAATTCATGCACACACACACACACAGCGGGGGGAAACAGGCTCTCCTCTGACATTGCATGATTGGTCACTTTTTCCCTCTCTCTCCCTTCCTGCTGAAATACTTTTTAACAAAAGAGAGGGAGAAGGAGGGGGAGGGGTGGCGTGGTTGGGGGAGGGGATGTATGTGCTGCTCTGTTGTCACAAGGCGAGGGAGAGCGAGTCAGGGGGGGGGGAGAAGGGAGCTGGAGGGTGAGCGAGGGAGTGTAGGAGAGAAGGATAGGGTCCCAGAAGAGAGTACCAGCCTCAAACACACACACACATGCAGTCACACATACACATTCATGTCGGCTCCCCTGTTGTACTTTTCTTTGGAACAGTGGATTACTTTCCAAATTGAACCACTCAGCGTGCAAATCCAGGCATGATCAGGTCAGTAAAGCATTTACTCACTTGTTGAAAAATTGTTTGTCTCCTTTCAGCAGTAAGGACAATGTTTCTGCTGCTACTTGCACATTCCTGTCATTTCCAATGCTCTCTATTCTCTCTTCATGTGTGATACATCCTCTCTCTGCTTACTCTTTTATGCATGTTATAGTTTGTTTTCTGTATACATATGTGTGACATTCCCATTAGTTTCTCTGCTATATGTCAGCCCATGTTGACATGTTTCTCCTATTCTACACTCCCTTTATTCCTACATCTATTCCATGTTAGACATGGCTGCTTCCTTGCTCTACATACAGTACAAAGATCCTTTTGCTGTTGTGGTTTCCAGTGTTTGTGTTGAAACACGGATGGCTTCTAATAATTACAAACTTGTCTCCGCTGGCCGTGCGGTTTTGTGGTCAGAGGCAACGAGCCCCCTCTCTGTCAGGGCATTTAGCATTCAAACTGTTTCTTGATCGGTCACTCACACATGTGCATGTTTATGTGCATACACATAAACAGACACAACTGAGGAAAGAAAAAGTGCACAAGAAACTCATTATCAGTCAATTTCAGAATTGCTTTGAGAAAGTCTTTTTAATAGAAGTATTGAATTTAACGTGTAAAGGCATTTTTAAGTATTTTTAAATTTACCGATTTGTCAAATATCCTAGAATCTGGATTTGAGTGACTACATCAAATACAAATAGGCAAGTAAGTCATATTGACAGTGTCTCTTGGCTCTGACGCTGGCATGTGTGTGCTCCTCAGGTGGCAGTGTGTCGGAGCGGTGTTGAACTGTGAAATGAACCATGGAGGGATGCAGGAGGCCAGTCACTAGCCGAGCCAGCAGTCGAACAACCACCACCAGCAGCAGCAGCAGCAGCAGGAGAAGCACTAGCTCAGGGAGGCCCCGCAGCATGCAGCTGGGCCCTCACTAGCACCAAGTGGACCCGGTCCTCTCCTCTTCACCTTGGGCCAGGGCTGCAGAATGCTCAGTCCAGTCACCCCATACAGTAAGTCTTTATTTTTAAACTTGTGTACACTGCCTGTGTTTGGGTTAATATGCTGTATTCTCATGTCCAGTGATGGATCTCTTTGGCATGTTGTACATGAACAATGTGACCTAGGTAGGTTTGAGTTTGTCTTTCTGTACAACCTCTTTCGTTTGGCTCCTCTTTTGTCCAGAACTCATCTCCTGTGGCTCAGTAGAGGGAAGCGAGGGGCTTGGGGTGGAGAGGGGGGGTCTCTGAGAAGTCATTTTGAGGAGGCAGATATGCTAATGGATTTAACAGCTGAGTCTCCAGGCTTTGCATTGAGGAATTTCACAGAAAGTGTTCAGACGCTGTTTTTTCAGCCCCTCCATGTGAATGAAGTATGGCAACCAGCAGCAGCTAAAGCGCCGCTGTTTGTCTTTTCTAGGAGCAGCATGAACATAGTGAGGATGTGGAGCAGTTCACTCAGAGCTTTTCTTTAACAATGAAAGATAAATACACCTTTTAAACAATCCTTTTTAAACAATCACCATCCTAACTTGAGATTCAGGTGATAGCCTTACTTCATCTTTATTTAAGGTGGAAAAGCTTGTTTTTAAACGTAAAGCATGTATATTGAACTATGATGATAGTGTTTTCTGTTGAGTCACCACTTCCTTTGCACAATTCATAAAAACATGGTCTTCCAGTGTTACCAGAGTAGATATTTTCTATGTTTGGAAAATATGTGTTAGTATGTAAAAGCAGATTAAATTACATAAATATCTGTGACACATCACAGCATAGTCCTGGCTTGTATATGTGCTAATCATGAGAGGTTGCTATCCAGGCTGATGAATATGCTTTTATTGATTGACTGGGCTATTGATTAGGCCAAGCTTTAACAGGATTACAACGCTAACCTGATTGGAATAATGCAACAAGGGTTTACTTCTAGGATTTTATGTATTCTGAAGAGCGACACAGATGTACAGACACAATCAGCGGAAAACAGAAAACTCAGAGGAGGGATTTTTCTGAGCATACAGAAGTTCAGTAACGTACAAATGTCACATTCCTGACTCGAAAAGACTCACAGCGTCACGTTAGATTTCTTCCAAAGAAATTTCGAATACACACAACCCTACGCTGGCATTTATTATTATATAACCACCACTGCTTTAATCAAATCTTACAGATTTGCACATTTCTTGTCAAGCTGCACACACACAAACACAAACAAGTAAGCATACAATTACAATCACCTACACTTCATTATGGGTTCTGTCCATAATGATGATAGTGTGACATGAAGAAAGTAATGAGCAGCTTTAACCCTTTTAGTTGCCAGTTACCAGGGTGAAGCGATTCTGTGAATGAAAGCCAGATCGTTAGTAACCTGGTGTCACCAGCGTCTCAATAGGCCCGTATAGAGGGACACATAAACATCACACACACACATTAGTCCTCCATAGCAATCATGAAAGCTTGTTAAGCACATTGTAGCACACCTTAGATGCTCATTAGCTATTATAATTAAGATCTGTGTTGCTGTTGAAAGAGACAGAGAAAGAGCAAAGTGAAGGGCAGATGGAGAGGACACCAGGAGGGACTGGTCAGCTGCAGCCTGATATATGAGTGGACACAATAAGCAAAGAGGGGCCAGGCCAGCCTCTGCCACATGTGTGTGTGTGCTAAAGGAGTGGGGGAAGGGGAAAACTGACCACACAGGCTTGGACACACGGTCCTGTCTTTACTACAGCACACAGGAAAGGAGGGGGGCTAAAGGAAGGAAGAGTTCTGGGCAAAATCAGAGTGAAAGAATAGCGAAAAATAAAATGAGAGGAAAAGGAGGATAATAATATTTAAACTAATTTCTCAGCAGTGCTTAGAGATAAGTCTGTGTGATTGGGTGTGTGTATTTGGAAGGGAAAAGCCATGTCTTGACTAACATTGTCATAATTAGAAATTACTTGTAGGTTAGAGATGTGTAAAACTTGAGTCAGATATGGTACGGTAGTTGATTGGCTGACAGTGGTGTGGCCTGGTGGACTGTGCAGGCCAGGGGAAAAGGGGGAAGGGGAAAAAGGAGGGAGAGGGAGGGTTTTCTCCTCAACAGATCCTCCTTCACACTCGCTCCAGCTTTTTAGACTCTGGTCAGTGCTTACGTAACAATCTAACTCTCATTTACTCTATAAGCAAGGAAGACAGAGATAGCTGGACGATGTGTGTGTTTTTGTGTGCAGTCCATTGTCCATTGCCACAGGAATCCTGACATGCTCCATGTATATTCATATGCCTTTTCTCCTCTGATGTGTTCTATATTGATCTTACAAGCAGTGGCGTGAATTAACTCTAACTAATACAAATTACCTAATAATGGGCAAACAGTTGATAGGGTAATTTATCAGCACCGTAAGTAAGCATGTCCTCTCCCTGCTTTCTCCCTTCCTTCAGCCTGGGAGTGGACAGTGTGTGTGTTGAGCATATGGAGAGGATATGTGCTTTGTAAATAGATCTCAGGTTAGATTCCTGGCATTCCAGCAGCCTGACTCATCCGATAGATGACCCAGAGCTCCTCTGCCTGTTGGCCAGCTGAAGCTAAACACTGCACCAAAACCACAATATAGTAAGAGTGCCTGAGCTTGTGTGTGTGTGTGTGCATCTTGTGTGAGTGTCTGTCCATCCTCAGGAAATGTCTTTGTTTATTGTGAGTGGAGTAAAAGCACTAACAGAGGACCCTTCAGCTCCAGAAGGGTGATATTTGTTTCTACTCCCCAAACCAGCCGTCCAGCCAGCCTCCTCTGATGCTCCACAACCCCCAAATCCCATTCCAGTCAATCCCCATCCCCCACACGTACTTTCATCTAATTAACCCTTAATTACTATAGTGACCATGCAGTGTGGGCCATGAGTGAACTAGCTTCCATTGAGAAAGCATCCATGACTTGCATGATTGTGTTTCCCTGACAGAAGAAAACATTTGGTGAATTTCCAGGGTTTGCTACATATCTGACTGATGATGATATTCATTAAAGAAGTAATGGTTAAAGAGCACTGAAACTGGTTTTAGTGGAGGTTGCTGACAGCTCGACAGAGAGCTGGGAGGGCTGCTCAGTCCATCTCTTTATTGGATAGATCACTGTTTGTTAGTATCTCCCTGGTTCACACACACATATACTGCATATTTTGCTATTTGGTGAACCCTGAGGTCCTTTAGCATCCATGTAGGTCTTGGTGAGAGAAGACGAAACGGGGAAGAGTTATTTTAAGTCACTTCCTTCTCTGGGTAGATTAAAGGAAACTGACACACACATGCTCGATCAAGGCAGATTTATACTATCATATATATTTATATATAGTGTCATGGTAGCTACACTGTATGTGTCTCTTTAAATATGTAACTTCATGTAGTGTCTGCAGGATTGGTCAGCTAAGGAAGTATTTCCTTCCAACCTCGTTCTGCTTGATCCTCTCTTGCGTCAACATGTTCAGTGCTCTTACTTATCTGCCTCTGATGTAATCTAGTTCTTCTCAGTAATGCTACGCAGATTGGTTATGTTATATCAAGCGAAGACACCTGAATTGTAAACACGTTCTTCACCACTATTGTAATGTATTGTAATTTCGAGTTAAAATATCTTCATTTGGGGGATTTTCCAAGCAAATATTTATTTATATGATTGTTTGCAATTACATCACCATCACCACCTGCCACAGTCTCCATGCCACCCATTGATCCGCCTCTGTGGGACTGATTTATACACCAGGATCAAAGTGCCACTTCACCTAAGCTATAGACGTACAGCTTGCTTGTGTCTAAGATATCTGCATACTGTAGTACACATTATTAGGCCACGTTCAGACCAACATTAGAACAATGCAGCATTCTCATTCATTTCACTGAGAGAAAGATGCCTCTGCTGAGGGCTCTGGCAAGACAAAGCAGGGTATACTCTGCTCTCTAGTTGCTTCTGTAAAAATCCCAATTGAGTGTATTGCATAAGCAATGTAACCATGTTTTGATAAATGCTGTTTGTAACATATTGTACACACACGGAAAACAGTGGAGACGTGTATAATGTTGCAGCAGTGGTTAGGAAATGTGTATGGATCGATTTTTTTTATTTCTTTACTGTAAATGTATATTCAATAGCAGACGATCCATTCTAAATCTGACAAATCCTGGGGTATCCATGTATTAAATGAAAATGAACTCACACTGAGTGAATACACATGGATTTCCTAAGTTCTACTAAAAGAAGGAGACTGTGGAAATGGAGTGAACAAATACTAAATCAATGGGAAGCTTGCAGTGGTGGTAGTTGTTTGAGTTGGTTAATTGTGTATGATTGAAACATGCGTGGAACACAACTTTAAACTATTTGTCTGGACTGCAATTAAAGAGCAACTTTTAATGTAGGTATGCTGAACTATACTACAGTGGCATTTGACTAGATCATTAAACAGCAGAGGTGATAGCGCTGCATCCGTAACATATTTTTGTTGATGTAAACTGACTGATCTAAAATATTTGACCTTCTTTTATGTTCCCTATTCTATGGTTTTCCCATCCCTGTGAGCTTTCCATTCATCTGATGTGTCCAGTAGCCAAACTGCTGAGGGACAAAGAGGAAACACTGGTGCTGGTCGACAGTAGGATAATAACAATGATTAAGGAAAGCTGTCAAAGCACCAAGCTGGTGTAGTACTCATCTTTGTCTCTTGGTAAGCCATGCCCCAAGCCAAGATGAGGTGCTAGATTAGGTTTAGGGGCTCCCTCACTCATCCCCCCTAATACTCCAAACCCTGCTCCCTGATATCCTCACTTTAACACAGATGTCTAATGCTACAGTACTTGTGAACAGTAAGAGGGTTGCATAAATTCACATTTTGTGGATAATAGACAAACATAGCAGTGTTATCTTACATTTTATGTCTTAATAAGAAGCAGTCTTAAAGTAATATCTGAGTTAAGATCTTACTGTGTACAAAGAGTTAAAATTTAAAAAGAACCTCTGCTATAGGGAATATTGTATAATGTGAAGATATCCGAATGCATTATATTAGTCAGCTGATAAAGAGAGCAACAATGTTTACTAAGAAATGCAGTAACAAGCTGTAGTTAAAAGAATAATCATTATCAAGTGAGACATTCATTTTGTGACATTGTGACATAGAATAAAGCCTTCATCCAACCTACAAGCTTACTGCAAGGATGAGAAGTAAGCTCACCAGTGGTGATGCTTCTTTAATTCTTGTCCACGACTGTCAGATTGTCACCAAGCACTGACACTCCCATATGCCTCGTGTACTCTAATCCTTCATTAGTCTGGTTTCCTTAGAGTCTGGTCTTTAACCCATCCAGATCCTCCAGTGCGCCCGCCAGTGGTCTGATCTCAGAGTGATCCTTTCATTTGCTCCATTTCCACATTCTTCCATTGAATCCCGATGAGGACTCCAGACACAGTAGATTACTGCGGTCAAATATGCCTTGGATAAATTATAGACCTTCGGTTGAAGACGGCGAGAGAGGAGTAGATTGAAAGCAAAAACGACAAACGATTGGCTCATGTCTGCAATCAGCATGACCAGTGAATATCAGTCCAATGACCCTTTTGTGTCTGTCTGCACGCATAATGACAGGATGCTGTATTTTTTTTAACAAAGTTTTTGATTTATCATATACGTTATATGTTAATGTTCTGTAAGTCTGCAAGACAAAGTATGCTTATATTTCTAATAAAATTAATGTAGTATTTAGCTGAAGTCTGTGAAAAGCTGCAGACTTATTCTCGCTAGTTAGTAGTACTCTGTACAGTCAATTTCACCTCAATTGTATCCTTCCATATAGACCAAAATCAGCTCAGAGACTGCCTCAAAGAGATTTACAATCTGTATAAAATACAAACACCCTCAGACTTTCAATTCAGGGAAATGAAACCCCTGTTTCTTTTGTATCTCTTTTTTATATGAGGTGTTTTCACTTATGTATCAGAACATTGCTTTTGAGGGATAACAAGCACTGGATCATACGGCATCGTACTGTACCTGTGAGGGTATCATAGCAAAAGTTTACCCAAGATCTGTTTGTTGCCTGCATATGTACAGCTATAGGTGGTGTCCTCAGTACAATACATCCACCTGTATCTCAGTAGCATTTGCAGGACAGACTTTACATACCAGTTTACAACACACAGTTCTCATGATGGCTTCTTCCTCTACCATTTAGTTTATTTCTTCAGGTCCTTCGTAAGGACTTTTTTGGGCTCTTGATTCTTTTATGAGAAATGTTAATAACAGTTGCTTTACAGTAGCCAATGTGGTTGGGAGTTTAGGGGCCCAACCCCTCTGCAAAGGTCTAGGATAATCCAGCCATGATTTGTAGATTCACTGTGAAATACAATGAATCAACACCGTCTAGTCAGGGTCAAGTTTTTATCCTGGATCATGACAGCCTGTAATTTGGATTCTAACCTTAGGAGCATCCCTCCTACTTGTCTGACATACATATCTGCTGTTGAGCATTTGTGGTGGGTATCTGCCATTGTGATAACCTCGATGTGAATGTGTGTTGGTGGGAATATAAGGCTTTTTGTGTATGGGAAGGGTACCATGGCCAGTCAGAATTCCCTGGAGCATAGGGATTTCTCTGATCCAGGGTGGAGCTTGTGTTGGTCGAGAGCACTGCGATCCCTGGATTGGATGAGTGGGATTATTGGGCTGAAGGATCATTTAATTTAGGGATCAACATGTGGACCGTTTGAGGCCCATCTGGTGGTCCTAGTGGACATGTGCACAACCTGGCATAATCCACATCAGACCAGACGTGCGAGGCAGTGTGTGTAATAATAAATAAATAGAAACACCTGCAACTGCTGCTTTTATTTCCTGCTTGTTTTTGTGATTTTCTTTCTAAAATGTTTGTGGAACATCTAGATGAACAGGGGCTTAAATAGAGCTGAAACAATTTGTTGATAAGTCAATTAGTTGATGAAACAGAAAATAAATCAGTTATTTTTACCATTGATGAATTGTAGAACTGTAAATATAATTTGCTGTTTTTCCTCTGTTTTATGTAAACTGAATATCTTTTAGTTTCACTGCCTGTTGGGTGGACAAAACAAGACGTATGAAGATGTCACCATGGGCTCTGGGAAGTTTTAAATCGCAGCTTAAGTCATGAAACAACACGTTACACTTTATTCTAAGACACTATTTTTATTTTCAAAAAGAAGAAATGAATTAATTATCTTATTTATTCATAAGCCATGAAGTATTTTTTGCACAACTAAGATGTGTAAAAAAAACTGCACAGAGTCTGATCCATAGAAGGCAAAGGCCAGAAACCAGAACAGCTCTCAGATGCAATTATGCTCAAAAACAGAACATGTCCTAATATTGGTGCTGATATTTTGGTGACACATTAAATAGACATTTTCCCAATTTTTCACAAACCTGACATATTTGTCCACTCCTGTCAGTGAAACTGAGGCGGTAGCTTCTTCCTCTGTCCAACACTGTTGCAGGGAAGCCCCTCTGGCCCAGGCCTGGGGTCAGGACAGTTTAATAATACTCTGCAATGCCTGGAATGTCAGCCTAATGCCTGTTCAAAAAGACAAGGCATGCAAAAGCCAGGCGAAAGCCCACAACCACTAAACCAGCAGATTACTCTGTTTGTGTAAATGTGCATGTATAATCACACATGGCAAGTGAAAATCTGACTTTTTTTGACTGCTCAATCAATCACTAAACTTGTAATAGTGTTCATAGATGTACTGGTCCAATCTGTGTAGTACTACTCTGATCCTCCTTTACACACTAACCCCCCTTTTATCTATTCCCCCTGTCCAGCAGACCCCTGAGGTTTGGGCCGAATTAGATCACACGCTCAGTGGGGGTGGCTTTGTGGACTAAGAGAGTCAGAGAGAGACAACAATGGCCCCAATGTGAGAGAGGCAAAGGCATAGGGCAGTGCGCAGGCTGATAGAGGCTTATCGCCGTGGAGACCAGGCTGGGGGGCAGTGTTGCCGGCTTCACATAAAGATTAGAACAGTTGTCCCCTGCCTGGATGAGACTGTGTAGAAGAGCACAGGCTAAGCATTGACATGATTCTGGAAAAGGGTCAGCTAACCAAGGAGATTATGAGGGCAGATATTAATGAGGCTAGACTCTAAGCTTACTTGTGAGTTTTGGTAAACTGAGGGAGCAAAATACCTCAAACGGGGTGTACAAACATTTATCTGGTGCAGGCAAGACCCTGCAAATAAGTACTCTTAATTTAATCATTTCATGATTGTGTGGACTAATTTTGCTTTTATCTTGTTTCTGTCAGGTCTGTTGAAGATGCACTGGTCTCCGGAGCACGCTGCCCCCTTATCTCAGTGGCCTGAGCAGCACCTAGATGTCACCTCTACCACCTCGCCCCCGTCTGCACACAAACACGACCCCTATTCTACAGCTGCTCGCCGTGGCTTTGCCCCTGCTGGTTACCCTTGGGCCAGTGATGACATATCAGCCCTTACTGCTTCTTCTCTGCTTAAACGCTACGCTGAGAAGTACTCAGGCTTGGAGTTGTCCTATGAACGCCCTGCTCCTGGGGCCTACTCAGAGCCTGGGACTTTCCTGAAAACTGAATCTGAGCCCTGGGCTTTGGGTCAGGGCATGGAGTGTTATCCTGGACTGGAGGCATTAACTGGCACCAAGGTGGGCTCTGCGTCTGTGGGGATCCCAGCCACAGGAAGTGTGACAGTAGTTAGCAGTAACTTGGCCTCTGAGCCAGGCTACAGTGGTGCTGGCCCCTGCAGTGCTCCATCATCTCAGGAATACCCTCCTGCCTACAACAGCACATACCTGTCCTCAGGATACTGCCCTCAGCCCAGCGCAGTACTTCCCCCTGCCCCTCTACACTCTTTGCAGGCTGCACCAACTCTGGTGCCCAGCTACAGCGCCAGCACTCCTGTCTACAACTACCCCCCAGGGTGCTACCCTCAAACCAGCCTGTCCTCTGGATATAGCCACCCCAGTGCCTCCTACCTGCCCTCTGGGATTAGTGCCCCCACTCCTCTGGCACCAAGGCCCACCATGGTGGGGGGCAGTTACTGCTACCCATCACACAGCCTTGGAGGGAGCTCCGAGGCAGGGGTGCCACTGAAACGCAAGGCCTTTGAGATGGCAGAGGATGGACAAGAGGGAGCAGAAGTGGAGGGATCACGCTACAGAAAGTATGGCAACGGCCATGGAAACAGTCATAGCAAAAGTCATGGCAACGGGCACGACAATGGCTACAATATGGGTGGCTCTGCGTCTGACCCACAGGCCTTCAAACCGGGAAAGCCCCTGATGTCACCTCCCTATGGCGGGGCAAGGGACTACAGCCCACCATCAGGCCTAGCAGGAGAGCGTGTCTCAGGGGAGCACAACTTTCCTCAGCAACAGAGAATGTCTATGAAGATACCTGCATCGCACATACGATCTGAGGACCCCACTGGAGGGCGCTGAGCCTGATCCCTGATTGGCATTTGAGAGGATTCTCTCACTCTTTGAAACCTACCAGGGTTCTTAATCCAGACAGACTTGGGGGAATAAACTTGGATTTGTCAATGAAAGGTTTAATTTCACTAGAGAACACAAGAGGGCAGAAGATTGGTATTTCTTGTGCGTCTTTAACATTTTCATTCATGTTTTTCCAAAGATTCACAGGGCATTTTGCCCTGTAAGGTTGAGGTAAGTCTTAGGGGTGAGGTTAAGGCATTCTCTATATAGACAGCGTTAAGACGGTCTACATTTATGAGTTGTCTGATGTCTGTTTCTCTCAGGATCCTATTTATTTCCGTTCTGCTACTGTGGCAGCAGTACTGCAACGTTGCTGTTTTAGACGTTAGTGTAATTATTTGTGGCCATTATGTATGTAAAAGGCCTATGACTGCAATACGTTCTACCACACCACAAAATCATTACTGACCAAAAAGTAAGGAGAGCAATAACTGAAATGGTGAGATTGCCATACTACTTCAGCACAATCACTGCTACTTTACACAGCTGACTCCAAGACCTGGTGTGTCACTGGGCTTTGAGAAATGAATGTTTCCCTGCTCATCTCGCACTCCCCCCCAGTGGGATTAAAGAAACTGAAAGAAAG